CTGTTGTTGTAAACTTTTGCACTTTCCATATGTACGTATTACATTCTCTAGAATCACACCTAAATGCCTATTTTAACCATAATGCAACTTGGCCAATTAGCACAACTCATGTTTTGTTTAAGTCTCAGATTAAGGAAATTCAAGTTTTAACAGAAATGTACAGACTAACCATTTTCCAATGGGAGAGCATTTAGGGATAATGAAAACAGTGATGTGGGTGTAGTAAAACATTGAATTATCTCAAAAGTCAAGATCACTGGGCCATATATTATTGGTAAAAGCTAAAACTTTTTTGCCCCTACAGTGAAGTTATATACTAGCTCCTACAAAGAAGTTGTAAGGGTGTCCTGGAATCACCATGTCTGTTTGTCTGTCTGTAGACATGTTTTGTCTGGAAATTATCTTTTAAACCACTTTATAATAATGCCCTGGTAATCGAAGAGTCGTGGGTATATAGGTTTTTGCCCCGTCCGTCCATATTTCACATGTGTATTTATTGACTAGACCTTCCTTTTGGTACCAACATATTTGACCTTGACCTTGGAGTTTGACCCACTTTTGTAAAAATTTACCCAACTTTAACCTTGGCCATAACTTTTGAACAGTTGGTGCTAGGGCTTCCAGATTTCACATGTGTATTTATCCTGACAAGACCTTTCCTTTTGTGTAAATATTTTTGACTTTTTGACCTTGACCTTAGAGTTTGACCCACTTTTAAAAAACTTTAACCTTGTCCATAACTTTTGACCCACTTTTAAAAAACTTTAACCTTGGCCATAACTTTTGAATAGTTAGTACTAGGGCTTTCAAATTTCACAGGTGTATTCCTTGTGACAAGACCTTTCTTTGGATATCAACAATTTTGACCTTGCCCTTTGAGTTTGACCTACTTTTGAAAAACTTTAACCTTGACCATAACTTCTGAACTGTTGGTGCTAGGGCTTTTATATTCTGCATGTATATTTCTTATGACAAGGTCTTCCCCCTGAATACCATTAATTTTGACCCTTTGACCTTGACCTTGGAGTTTGGCCCACTTTTAGAAAACATTAACCTTGACGATAACTTTTGAATGGTTGTGCTTGGGCATTTTTGATCTCTCGACTTTGCAGTTTGACTTGCATTTGAGAAAGTTTAACCTTCACCATAAGCTGCCATACGGGGGCATCAGTGTTTCACAAACACATCTTGTTTTTTCCCTACACTTTGTAATTACATATGAACTAACTGGTAACAGGAATTTACAGACTGATTTGTCAAACTTTTAAAAAGAGGAACAAGAGAATTAAATTCTTATTTGAACATGACTTTGTAACCAAGAAAGCAATCTTAGGCTCATAACTGATAGAAAGGTAGCTTGTGTCCAGAGATGAGTCTTGACCCAGTACCAAGGGCATTTTAGATATGTTCAAGGTCAAAAGGGTACAAATGTATTAAATTATTTTCATTCACAACTCTATAATGGAAACACAGTAGACATACCTGAGACAAAACTCACCTGTGACTCAAAGGTATATCCCAAGACTAACATAGGGTAATTTGAACTAGATATGTTTTTAAGGTTGCTTAATTATGATTTGAGGCAGTGAAACAATCCTGCCTGTTGGTCATTTAAGCAATGTAGAGGTAACAGGAATTGAAATTTAAATTCTTGGCCATAACATAATTGTATATTGAAAAAAGTAACTCCCAAAGATCATACTGCCCTAATGGTTGATAATGATCATAAGATATGCCATTTCCAGAACAGAGTCAGGAGACAAGGTCAAGGTCATAGACTTGATAGAAGTATCTCAGAAAATGCAACTTTTTATTGGAGTAGTAGCTGGAGAACATAATTGGCATATAGGTGATTATGACCAAGAGGTATTAATCCTACTTAAGGGCCCTATAGGGTTTTAGTCATAGTTAATTTAAAAAAATATTGTCCATTATGAATTTCAATAACCTGAGATTGTTTACTTTAGTATTTTCAGCTATAACGACAACACCCTCTCAACAGAATCCTCAAGATAAAGAAATCTTATGTGATGAGAACCTAAATAAAGAAGATAGAAAAAGATCAATTGTTTTAGTTTTCAATGTAGAAATTGATGACACAGATGTCTTTATTTAGTCAGGGAGTCCAGAAAACAAGTTTTGATTCTTTCAAATTCAAATTTACTTTTTGTATAATCATGCATTACTTGTATCTGGATTAACAGACTAAGTAAGAAAAAGAGAATTTTTCAAGAAAACTTCATTTGCAAGAAGCAAAAATTCTGTTTCCAAGGAAGAAGGATAGAATTAATGGATTAGGTTTGGTGCACTCTGATAGATAATAGCTTGATATTAATATCTGGGGTACAAAAAATATGCTTGTCTTCGCATGATATTCATATGAAACCTGGGTTCTTTTTTTCACATGAATTTCGTGCGATTTTCTTTTCGCATGATATTCGTGTGAATTTCATGTGAAAATTGCATGACATTTTTGTGCGAATATTATGCATGGTCCTTTTCGTCTCCTTCTCATGCGAAGAATTCACATGATATTGGTGCGAATTTTATATGAAGTTCATGCGAGGCACTTTTCCCTGTGTAGGAGGACAAAGCATTCCCTGTCGACCGCTCACACCCGCCTTGAGCCCCATCAACTAGACGAAATATCATGTAGTCAAATTAAGTACAAAAAACTAAAAATTGGTATGTAACACGTCATTCAAAATATGACACTATGATAGGTTATATTTGCTAAGAAGGTCATTACAACAACCAATGAATTTACGAAATTCTAACTTTTATCGAGTTTGGTAAATCCCTGTAGCACCAGCTCATCTTTCCGTAGATAAATCAACAAATGACCCTGTTAAAATAACATTAGGGTTTGGAAGGAATGATTAAAATATTATATATTTTTTTTTTATCAGTATTATAGTATATTGGCTATATTTTACAGGCAAAAACGGCAATTGCACAGGAATATACATCATTTAATTCCCATTTAGTTTGAATATGTTCCCATCACATAAGCTGAATTTAGAAATACTGTATATATATATGAAATAACAGAAAACTATTTCAAGGACGTTCATTCGTTTAAGAAGAAATATAAGAATGTCTTATTGTCTCGTTTTGGTTCGCTCTTTACAGGCAGTATTGATTCTAACAGGATTTCGCGGTAATTTCATTTATGAAGTTAATCTCATAAGAAGGCAGGATTTTCTTTTCAAATTACGTTTGGTATATAAAATCGTGCTGCTCCTTAAAAAGGAAACTTCAAACCAAGGACACCACTAACACACACTTCAGATAAGAAGAAAATCTTAAATAAACACCTTAGGAGGTTGGTTCCTGCTATCAGAAGTCTTTAAAATTTTTGTCAAGTGTATTTTAGCATCGACACACATAACTTAATTAAAAATCAGAACAAAATATGGGTTTTAATTCTTTTGGTGCTATGGGGCATTTAATATGACTTTTTGCACGTAATTGCATCGTACACATAAATCCAATCCCTTTTTCAAAGTTTTTTTCCTTCTGTAATTTGGACTGCAGAAGGTCCAAACAAAGACAAGATCACTCCCGCTTAAATAAACATTGTATTTCTCTTAATTCTACCTTTACATTATGACAATAACTTCCTTTTAATTTTTCCCTTTTCTGTTTACGGACGCCTGTCTTTATTTACTTATTCTTGTTTAGGATGATTTATACTTTTCTCAATTTTTATGTTTTGTTTTTTTTCATAGGAAACTTTATTGCTAGCTATATGGCTAAAGATTTATTTAAGAAAGAAAGCATCTCGCATACAAATGCAGAATAAATGGGATTTAGAAAAATGAAAAATTCATCACTTTTCTCTCCTGGATATTATGTTTTTGTCATTATCAATATGGTGATTCTGAGTTTATTAGCTATGTTTTTATTTAATGAATACCTGATTCTGACAGAAACACATTTACAGATATACATGTAATTCTAGAAATTTAAAAAAATGTTTCAAGCAAGACAAAATGTCGTATAGATCTTCTTACTTAGTTGTTCGAAAGTGTATCACATTTGATCATACGATTTCGAATGATAACAGTATCAGTAAGCAATGTCCATTGAATTGGGTTGTTATATACTGACATTATTTCAAATGCTTCGTATTGATTTTGTATGAGTAAACTCTTTGGCGATTTACAAAAGTATTGGGCCACATATCAATTTTTTAGTACTATCAAACGTTTTGGTGACATTTGTATGTCAACTTGGGTTAAACTTAAGTTAACATATCTTAAATGTGAAGCGCATGGCGCAGTGGGACGGTTTAGTTTTTTTTAAAGTGGATATTGTGGAATTAATTAAATACGTGATGACTAGTGATGGTCGGTTGCTTCAAATGTACAGTTTTCTTATGATACGTCTTGTTGCAAAAATATTCCAATACTATTCAGTGTTGTAAATTCATAGTTAAAAAGGTGCCCATGGAATCCAGGAAAATTAAACCCCCTTGGAACGTTATGATTCCACAATAACCTCGAGATACTCGGAGCTCTTCTACAAATATACACAATCAGACAAGCAAAGAGGAAAGTATTCATCTATAAAACCTGTTACATTAAACAACATCATCACCACATTTACTAGTTTCTTAAAGTTTAAGAGTCAAATTCTTCATTTAAAAATAAACTTTAAATAAATGTGTTAAGAAAAGGATCTAGTGGTTACAATTGATAAAAATATGATTTCAGAATCATAGTTTCGTACTTTATGTATGTAAACATACATATTTGGATTCTTTAAAAATAATGATTGTTCCATTTTTAAATCAATAAACATGGCAAAGTAGGTAAATTGCTTTTCAGTATAGTGTAAGATTAGCAACTGTGTATTATGATGTATCAGGGATTACATTAATTTCCATTGAAATGGAAGACTATATTTTTTTTTTAAATTATACCATATTTTCTTTACAAGAGAATTTAGCTTTAAATAAACCCGCCTGGCAAGAGAATAACTGGCTAGGTAAGGAAATGGAATGGGGAGCAGCGAAAGCAGTGGATGGGAAATATTCTAACCGTTCGGTATCAGGAAACCAGTGTACAATGTCTGCAAATGGACAAAGAACCGCCGAGTGGAGAGTGGATCTAGGGGAAGTGGTCAGCATTAGTTATATCAAAATTTACTACAGGACAGATAATAGACCTGGTACGTATAAACTGTTCAATGTATAATCTTCAAATATAATCTCTGTTGACATGAAATATATGACATTGTGATTTTATTTGTGACATATATGTGTTGTCAAAAAGTTCTCTCTAAGTTCAAATTTTGGAATCTTTAATAATGTTCTAACAATATTTTTGTGGCTAACTAGTATCTAAATACAACTACTCGTTGCAAGTTTCAACGATAACATTCATTTATAAGCTTTTCAAAAGGCTTGCATTAAAATTTGGTTTAAAAAATAGCATATCAAAAATACGGATAACTTTTAAACAACATGTTCACCAACACTTATAAAGTAAATTATGTTCTGGAAAGTGTAATACAAATTTTCCCCGCAATTGCGTCATAATTGCTGAGCGTAACAATTACCAACAAAGTGACGCAACTGTCAATACAACCGCAAAAACCGTGAACGTAATGCTACTACATGTAAGGTGAAGGTGAAGAATCGGTTCAAGACGGTGTATTGAGTGTATAGTGTGTTCTTTGTCTGGATGAATACGATGATAAGAATTAAAATGAAAACGGCCATTATTAATTCTCTTGTTTGTTGTTTACGTCCCATGTGAAAAAATTTCACTCATATTCAAATTTAGATGTATATTTGACATTCAAGACCATATTGAGCACAGAGAGTTTTTTTTTTTTATCATGTCATCTCCTACCGTAATACGGGACCTATGTTCTGAAGATCATATTCGAAAAGCCTGTGACTTTTACTTCTACTGCAGAGCACTTGGCGAAGGAACAGTCAAACGTAATACGCCTTAGATATGGCGTGAAGCCGGGATCGAAATCACCCGATCACAAAACGAGCGCAGTTCCAATAAGTTAAGCGACCATTGATATGTTGCATTGCAGGTCACAGCAAGAAACTTCTTTTTTGAAGAAGTTTTTGAATAAATTCTGATTTATAAGAATACAAAAAAGGTCTGTTAATAATGGGCCTCAGCTATTTTTAATCAAACTTTAATATGAAGGAAATATGGAGATAACGAACAGTATTAGATATAAATCTTAATAGAAAAGTAAATAGATTTAGGTGAGTAAAGACCAAAACGATAATTAAACAATTAAATTATATCTATTTTTGCACTCTGAATGAGAATGAGCTTTTTTGAACCAGTATCAACATAAGCCTGTCATTAATATATTTGAAGATGACATGGCCCATCTGGTTTCATGAATTAGATGGCAAAGTGTAATCAATCAAATCATAAGTGTTTGCGATCTTACAGCTTAGCTCAGAAGGGTTTATTATAATTATTTACAACAAAAATGGCATAAAAAGGAATTACTACAGAATTTAAGTCTTGAGAGGTAACTTAAGAAATGCATTAATATTAACTCCATCACCTAAAATTAATATAAATGTGAACATATTGAGTGCAGGTGCCTGAAGATTTCACTTCTGTGGGAGGTATTAAGATCGATACCCAGTTGCTTCTCTCTTATGTCAATTTAAGACCTCTGTCGTAATTTTTTTAAAGTATGAGTTAACATCAATCTATTTTTAACCTTACTCAATACTGTAAGACTCCCTGATTTTAAATGAAGTGCTGAGTAAAATATTATTCTCGTGACGTTTTACAAATACAGTCCTACTAGTATTATATCAGTTTTTTGGCAAAACGAAACTTTATTGTTGATAATAAAAACTTATTAGGCAATAGATCAAAATGCATATCCCTTGATACAGGGAACAGCTCATTATGTTTTACTGCTGTCACTTGTTTACTTCTGATAACAGAATACAATGAGCCGTACCCAGTACTGTGAGTAATATTTTCCGATTACTGACCGAATAAGTAGTAACCGACTGTTAAATATAAAGTGTTAGCTTTTAATTACCGAATAGATAAAACGTTTTTTTTTTAATTTAGATTATTGAATCATTGTTTGAATCAAAGAGAACAAAACATATATAGTTACCCTCCAAAAGTATTCGTAAAAAATAAAATAACTGAAATAAAATAAAAGTATTAAAAAGTATGAAAGTTTGTCAAGATTTCCCATATTGCGTATTACAGATCGTGGATAATACTTAGCTAGAGTTTACTACAGTTAGCTATTTTTACTATTGTTAACTTTTGTTTACTATAGTATCAAAGTTTTTGCTATAGTGAAACAAAATTTTAACTATAGTGAATGAAAGATTGTTATATTTTATGTTCTCCAATTTTCACATTAAGATATAAATTGTACTTTCACAAATTATGGGTAAAATTTATCTGATTTCTATAAATTAAAGAAATTTTAGCATTAATATCGGTAGAAAAAGTTCTTAAGTAAAGTTTCATAGTAAATCAAAGTTCCATAGTAAATCAAAGTATCAAAGCATTTACTCTAGTTAAGTATTGTAAATTGTTAAGGTCCGTATCGAGTTATGATCGTCCTTAAATATGTATGCAAAATGCCCTAAGTAGAACTACAGGCCACAAATTGTTATTTGGCACAGAATTTGACAGAAATATAATTTTCTGCATTAATATTTTCATCAGTGATAGAAATTGCCTCGATACTGTGATACATGATGCATCCCCATACCATTTAAGGTAACAAAAGTATACTTTTTGATAGTGGGTAAATGCAATCAAACAGGTACTCTTCTCCTTCTTTTCTCCACACTCTTACTCTCATGTCTTGTCCAATATCATACATTTATTAATTGTGTTCGAGGGCAGCATTCGATTTGTCAGCCCCAAGAATCAAACTGTTTGCCTAAGGCCAATTTTGTTATCTTCGCTTATGACCCATCTTTGTTTACATGTGGTTCTCCCAAACTTACAAAGGACATGTATTTGACGTAAATTATGACGCTTAGTATCACACGATAACTATTTCAAAACTCTTTAATATTCTTAAGGGGCAGATCACAGACCTCATCATTCAAAAAATACAGTTTTCGTTTACAACTTGAGGTCCTATAATTTTTTGGCTCTATCTTAGTAAACTTGTAATCAAGAACAGTATAACCCCCGTTATCATTTGGTACAAGTAGCATGTGTTTCTACATAAAAATAAATTTTGAAGCCAGTTGTTTAGTTAGAAGTAGAGTAAAGAAATAGCATGGAATCATTATTTATTTTTCAAGTTTAATTTAAAACATTATGAAAGTCTGTTAAATTATATTTCACGTTATTTCTCATGAAAAAGATATTTTCATAAATTCTGTACGATCATTACCTACTGATCTTGAGTTTATATCGATTTCAATTTAAGGTTACTTTATTGGTCGATTCGCTGGGTTTTTCTTATACGTTTCTAACACTACCTCAAAGGAAAACGGAATGCTGTGTTTCCATGAAATGCAGAATATGACTGGTACACCTGTAGAAGACCAGAGGATCAACTGCTCCGTGTATGGCAGATATGTTATATATTATAACGAGCGGAGTCCGAGTATAGTATATCCTAATTACTACTCTCCAGATGCATACAGTGAGTTGTGTGAAGTGGAAGTGTACGGTGAGCTCCAAATGATAGCTATTTATATTGATATTTTCTAACAGGCAGGTGTTAATTCTTATGCCAACGTTTCAAGATTTTATTTCTTTATTTTTATAAAAAGTGCATGTATTAAAGGAATTACAAATTATTAGTGAAACATCCACCTTGGAGCTAAATCATTTAATTTTTTAAAAAGGATGCAATGACAAAGAATATTATGGTGAATTTTGTAACCAATCATGTCCAGAAAAGTGCCAGGGACACCAGTGTGACGCGGTTACTGGTAACTGTATGAATGGTTGCTTACCTGGATACCGAGGTCCGCACTGTTCTTATAGTAAGGTTTTTTCATGCATTTAAAAATGCCAATTTTTTTTTTATTTTTGCTATTAAACGTAAACTTTTCTTCTTGTTAAATATAATGTAAATGTTGTTATTTTTCATTGTACGACAATGTTTTGAAAGTAAATTTAGCTTTACGGAGACCTACCTGGCAGATGCACAACTGGCCAACCGAACCTATAATTTGGGGAGCAGCAAGAGCAGTGGATGGACAATATTTTGATCGTTCAGCAGGAGGTAACCAGTGTACAATATCAGATGGAAAAGAGACAGCAGAGTGGAGAGTGGATCTAGGGAGTGTGGTCAGCATCAGTCAAATCAGCATCTACTACAGGACCGGAAATGCTCCAAGTAAGTATTCTTCAAGCTTTCTAATTTTTGTTTTAAATTTTCAAATTAGAGATTTGTTACGATCATATTTTTTCTTAGTGTAAAGCAAATCTGTGCCTAGAATTTTCCTATGAAACAACTATGACCCAAGATCTCCTTGACTATATAAGGGAGGAGTTAGATATAAAAAAAAATGTTTTTTTACTTCGGTAAAGAAATATAAACAAAATCAAAAGGACTAGGGCGTACAAAGCGAGGAAAATCCCTTGCTCTGACAATACATTTCTCAATTTTCAAAGCTCATTGATTTTTTCCCCCAAAACCTCGTCAGTAATGTTTCTTCAAAACATATTAACCATTTCTTTTATTGGATGACTTATTGATTGATAAATTATTAATTACTTGGACTGCTACATGTAAGCATATTTCGTAAATGATGTGCCTGTCCGAGTCATGAAAATAATAGATATTTGAATATGAATGGTTAAGAAAAACTCAATTCACCATAAACATTTAACTGACGGAGAAGTTGTTGTTGAATACGTGTCATTTTCAGACAAGAGCAAAGTATGATGATATTATTCCAAATATTCATCATCAACACAGCACAATGAAGGTAAAAGCAACAATGGAGTTCAACATTAAGGTTAAAATCTTTTAAATGTCATTTAAGGGGGATGTAAAAGTTATGACTCTTTCTCATGTAAGCTCAAGTGCTTTGATGTCATATGCTTTTATGACGTCAAATCAGGTATTCCAGAGAAGTTGACGTACTTTACGACAGCAATATCCTAATTTATTGTATAGCTAATAAATAATCTATAATAAAAAAAAAACTACTAAAAAGCTAGAGAATTTTAGCGTTCAATATGTTGGCGTTTATTGAACGCTGAGTTGTATTACGTATATGAGTATGCCCGAAACATTCCGAATTCGAACGTTCAATATCGAACTCCCAGTTGTAAACAAAAATGTCGTTTGGTCAACCTCTCAAAGGCAAATTTATGATAGACAGTGGCAGCTAGGTAAGATTTGTTTATTTTCAAGCAATATTGAAATTATTAATTAATAAATCAGTACGTAATATCCTCAATAAAAACATCAATAAGGATATAATAACGCTTGGTAGGTTCCATGGAATGATGCGATATTGAACTCTTTCAGGAGAGACGTTAATTTAAATACACAATGCTGAAAATTCTTATTAATTTGAGTTGATTAGTTGAATTAATTAATTTTAATCAATGGGAGATGTTCTAGTTATATAATTAAGGAGTTATTGCACGTATATTGGTGAATATTGGCACTCGTTGGCTGTACAAATACACTCGCAAACTCTTGCTCTTGAACAGCCAACTCGTTCCAAAATTCAACAATATAAGTTCAATAACCCTATAATATTTGGAATCTTATGATAATATTTATGATATACCGATTTTTTGTTATTTTCTTTCTATATTTTAGTCACCTGTTTATTTCCAAGATTTATACTTTTCTTAATGATAACAACAATTAAAGCTCAAATGAATGCGTCTTTAGTTAAAAAAACATTAATTCGATTATTTCTAGATTTACTGTGTATTAAAGATGTTTTCAATGTTATTTCTTTTAATTTTGTTCTGGAAGCTATTTTTTAAAAAAAATATTATGTTCCGTTTTTTGATGATTAAAAATATACAGTGATATGGGTATATCATATATCTGTCGGCATGAAAATGTAAAGAAAAAAATTAAAAGAGCATAAAACAAAATGGAAGGGGGTAACAGGAGAAAGCATATCGTATATCGTTAACTGTAAAATTTCTTCTCCTGTAGTAGTCTTATACACGCGTATTGTTAATAAAAAACATTTTTACAGTGTATCTGATATTGATTGTTTTAGGTATAAATATTTTTCATATATATGAATGAAAAATTCATCTATTAGAATTGTTAATTGTAGGCATAGACTTTAATGTCAATAAAAGTGCATGGTTATTATTCAGGGAGTCTTGTAACGATACGTTTCAGCTTTCTCGAAAGAGTTAACAAAACCTTAATGATTACCTTGTTTTTGTTTTACTTATAAAGAGAGAAAGTGGCAATGAACTAAGGAAAAACATTTTAATTTGTTTAGGTCCTGGTGCATTCTATGACCGATTTGCTGGATTTTTTGTTTATGTTTCCTATGATACTTCTAAGGACACCGGTAGTCTATGTTTTCATAAAATGCAAAATGTAGACCATACACCTACCGAGAACCAGATAATAAACTGTCCATTAGACGGACGGTATATTATATACTACAATGAGCGCAGACCGAATGTGACATATCCCAGTTACTATTCTCCATTGGCATACAGTGAATTGTGTGAAGTGGAAGTTTATGGCAAGTTTAGAAAATGCTTTTGTTCATGTCTCCATATGACATAAAGCGTAATTTTATCCTCACCACAATTTTAAAGTTTTATCTTTGTTCTCAATTCAATCAGTGAAATAAGATTTTGTGTCACTTAAATAGGATGCCCTGGTTCTAGATATTACGGAAAATATTGTGACCAATCATGTCCAGAAAACTGTCAAGGGGAGAGATGTAATATATCTACAGGAAACTGTTTTGAGTGTAAAGTTGGATATATAGGACCTCGCTGTAGTCAGGGTAGGTAATAAGTTGACATAAAGATAATACATATCACATTTTGGACACAGAGAAATGCATATGCGTATTTATAAAGTATATGCATAACTAAAAAGTGGACACTGAGTTTTTGCTTAGCATATTTGTTATGGCACGTATTATATTTTCTTTATTTTTTTCCAAAAATTACATCCTGCTTAGTCTTATAATATATTATATTTTGGGTTGGGTATTGCTTTTTCACATTTTATCAAAGTTGATATCGAAAACTGTTGTTAGATTTACATCATACAAAATCAACATCGCCAAAGCCAATAGTATCTCATAAACACGCTTCTTTTATTGACAAGTATATTGAACATTTAATTGTCTTAAAGAATGTGACAGCAGAATGTACGGAGCTACCTGCAGTCAGAAATGCGGTCATTGTCTTGGTAACACACAGTGTCACCATATCAACGGTTCTTGTTTACTAGGATGTTCTGTGGGATATCAGGGATCACTCTGTATCCAACTTAAGTAATACTACGTCAATTGAATTTAAAACAAAACAGAATTAAAAAAAAAACTCATTGTCATACTTTTTTCTCAATTTTTTTTTATAATTTAAATATACTATACATGTATATCCCACAACTCATTAAGGACATATGCAACGTAGTTTTGAACTTAATTTTCGTATTTTCTGTAATTTGAGAGTTCCAATAAGTTTTCAACTCTTATGATGTTGTATACCTCCTCTAAAAGGATTCTGAGGACATTTCAGCTAAAATGATAGATTTAGTAATTTTATAGTATAGTTTTTACTGAGGGATTTTCAACATTTGATATCTTATTAAAACACCTGGTATAGTATGCTGATTTTTTTTGTCAATGACATCTGATGGTACTATGATTTTAAAGTGATAACGTCCTGAAAACTAACCAGCAAATTACAACTTTTAAAAGTAGACTGCATATAACCTTAAGTGCCAAATAGAAATTGAAATTGTTAGATACATGTATATGAATTTCAGCCTATGTTTTCTCACATACAAAACGAGCAAGCAAGGAATAATAATAAACAAAAAAATCCTATATTTCATCAAAAATAATTTTTACATTTTAACTCAGAATGAATTCATATATTTTTTTTAAAGAATGTGATAATGGAAAATATGGCTTACATTGTAACAAAATCTGTGGACACTGTCTTGAGGGAACACGGTGTCTCAATACAAACGGTTCATGTTTAACTGGGTGTTCTCCTGGATATAAAGGACCCAACTGTATCAGAGGTACATGTATGTGATTCTTCTCCTCTTCGATGAGTAACAACTAACAAATACTAAACATTAGAATTACTTATGCAAATGGATGGAAAAATGTTTAGAATTGAATGAATATAGGATATACATCTCCTGCAATTGTCACAAAAATGTTAAGTTTTCAGTATTTTATTTAACAAATGATTTAACAAAGGATGCATGAATTATTCAAAATAGATCAAAACTTTATCAAAATATATCAAAACTATATTTAAGAATGTGACGGTGGGATGTACGGAGCTTCGTGCAGTCGGAAATGTGGTCATTGTCTTGGCAATACACAGTGTCATCATATTAATGGTACATGTCTAGGAGGATGTTCTGTTGGCTACCATGGATCCCTTTGTAACAGTAAGAAATACAATAAGATTTAAAAGCAAAATATCACAGGTAAGGAATATATAGGATTTTAAAAACAAAACGAATTTCAAAAAGCATTTCATGCTCATTTATTTATTATTTATTTATTCTATCTTGAATATACCGCACAAGTATATCATACAATTTATTAAGCGCCAAACAACCAAAAGGAATGTTAAACGTACCTGGAAATTTGTGAAATATAGTAAAAACGCTTATAGCAAACGCGCTTATAATGAGTCCAGGCTTATAGCGAAGTGATTTTTCATTCCCCATGGGCTTAAGTCAGATAAACTAAACGGACATAACGAATTACGTCTATATCGAAGCACAATCGCTCGTCCCTAGCACCAGTATAATCGTATTTTACTGTATTTGAATAGCACGGAATCAGAGAGAACAAAAACATAACTATTAGAATAACTTAATAGTTTGACTTAGACTTATTTGATGTATTTTTTAGAATGTGACAGTGGAAAATATGGCTTACATTGTAACAGAATTTGTGGACACTGTCTCGACGGATCACGGTGTCTTCATACAAACGGTTCATGTTTAACTGGGTGTTCTCCTGGATATAAAGGACCCAACTGTATCAGAGGTATGTGATTGTACTCGTCTTCAATTAGTAACAAGAAACAAATACAAAACATCAGAAATAACAAGGCACTATTTTGTGCAAATGGATAGAAAAATGTTATCATTACGTTTAAAATCAAGAGAATATATGATATACTTTTTTGCAACTGTCATTGAAATAAAATTTAACCATATTATTTAACACGTGATATTTAGGATTCATGAATTATTGAATGTGCATATATTAAATCAATTTTCAAGAATGTGACGGTGGGATGTACGGAGCTTCCTGCAGTCAGAAATGTGGTCATTGTTTTAATGATACACAGTGTCATCATATCAATGGTACTTGTTCACAGGGATGTTCTGTTGGCTTCAGGGGAACCCTTTGTAACAGTAAGAAATACAATAAAATTTAAAACAAAATACAGGAATTTTTAAAACGATATTTATCGCAAATCTCGCTTGAAAGTATACACTACGATCGTAATACCATTGCATTCAGTGACGACACAGTTGGATTTGACAGTTAAACAATTGAATTAGCGCGTTACATTCTAAGAGTCATGCGTTTTAATTGGCCGATTTGGGGCCCGTCCATTTTCGCGCGTGGTTGTATAAAAATAGGTATGATCATTTTTACAGTACTAGTGTATCGCAATGGAGGGACTAGAATAGTATTTACGCGAAATTGACGACGGTTTTGTATTGTACAAAGAAGAATTTATGAAATTAGCCGTTAAAAGCGATGCCATCCTCAAGTATCTAAGACCTTACGAAGTGGAGGGAATGAACATCCCCCGGGTATACAGAAGAATGTTGGTAGAACGCATTGTGAATCTCCAGACGCGCAGCACTAAAGCCAAAATGAAAGAACAGTGCTGGGAGGGCTTCAGTGCACAACCCAAAGCACCAAAAAGGTTGCGTTTTGGAAACCCTGATCCATGTACCCAGACCAGCGTGAGGCCTACCCCGGAAAAACCTGTCCAGTCGCCGCGCCTCGCACTCCGGAAAATTTCCTTGAAAAGGAAGTGGAGAGATTAAATGAAGAAAAGGATACCTTGTCCGTTTTACTCGTTCACAAGAAAGATGAACTGAATGATTTAAAACGTAAACCAACTGCACTGTCGGCAATCAGCATCCCGGGAAATCCGATCACCAAATCATCGTGCGACAACTGTCATCGGAAGGGGCATCGATCCATAATGAATCGGGGGAACAAGTCCTGTCCCTTCTTGGCCTGTGAGGGGTATCATATATGCGGTCAGGAAGGCAAACACCCTGACCATAAGCAGACGGTGACAGAGGCAGGTTTTACTCATGAATACACTTACACCTTGTCATATATATATATATATATATATATATATATATATATATATATATATATATATATATATATATATATATATATATATATATATACAGCATACCTTTTCAAATACGTTTATGAACTACATGTATTTTACTTATTTACATATATACGTTTATATGTTTAAAACAAAAGCTGTGTTGTTCTGAAAACTTATTAAAACACCTGTAAAGTTATTGTTAAATAGGAGCACCTGGTACGTTGAGGTCATGTATGAAAGTACACAAGTTCAAAAGGTGGGGGTAAAATTTATTGTAAATGATCATAGGCATTCCCCATCTTAATATCGGTTATGGAGTGGAAAAGTTGTAGTAAAGTGTAGACTAGATATATTCATTTTTACCAGTTAAGACAGGTAGTGCTTACGAAAGCAACCAGATCGTGACACATTTTGTAAATCACTGCACAGTGGAAAAGACAACTCTCGATTTCTGTAAATAACTGATATCTCCCATTATACCCAAATACACTATAGCATTAAGCATTTATATTCTGGGAAATCTAAGACTAGTGATTTGTATATGTACAATTGTTTTCAAAATTACACTTATATAAATGAAAATATGCTGAAAACTTTGCTGGGTATGCTTAAGGGTAACAGGGCAATAGGAATTTTATATTTACATGTATTTTTTATTTTAGGTAACAAAGGAAATAAATGATGTAGAGAGGAGAATCAAGAACATAAATGATGAACTTAACAGCATAAAAATGTTTCAGAAGCACAATAACACTAATTTCATATCTGTTATGCGTCCAATCTTGAAAGCTTTATTTTCTCTGAAATATGAAGGTAAAGATGGAGCTCAAAATTTACAAAGGGATTTAAGATATATTAAAATTGCAACAAATGGACAAATACCCCAAGTCCAGACTCTAGAACACATTAATCTTATTGTAAAGGGAAAATCCAGGGTATCGAGTATGATAGCCGACATCGACACAACACCAAAAAAGATGCCTGATCAAAAGCAAACCTCCCCCAGTTATGCAAGCCCACCAGCTTCATTAACCCAACAACAGCCGTTAAACTTTCAACAGTGCAACCCATATTTCCCCATGTCATCACCTACTACTCCTTATCAGTATGTCATGTACCCAAATCACTGGAATTCAATGTATGATGTATATGGAAATAGCTATATGTATCCAACAAATCCTGTCACATCTTCCGCAGGCCCTGAATTTACTGCAAGTCCACCATAACCTTTGTATCCACCACCTGAAAACCCACCATTGCCAAAGGACATGTGAATTGTTCTTATTTACTGTTTGAAACAATTGTTTTTATATTAATTTCATATCTGAAGTTGGTAAGAAACAACACATGGATTATCTTGTATATTTCATTGTACCTTTTGGTAAAATAATGAAAAGTTAACAACATATTTTATTTTTGAAGACTGTGATTCTGATTAATCATGAATACATATTTCATTTGTGAAGGAATTCTTAAAAATTCCATATATATTTCACCTTTTTATGGAATCAACTAGTTTACAGTGATAAACTTTGAAACATTCATTTTTAAAAAAAAAATTTTAAGGTCATATACATTTAGTTTAAGTTCATTTGCAGCAAAGAAATCAAACTATTTGAAAAATGGGAAAAAACATTTAAAAAATTTATCAAGATATTGCAGTTACAGTAAAGCCTGATTATCTAATGGTTTATGCATGCAGATTTTCACCAGCTGTACGAGTACCTTTTTCAAATTGAGTACCGGTAGGCATCACTTTTGATTAGGCACAAAGATTAATCTATTGAATATTTTAATCCAAGTTTTAATCAGAAAGTCCCTTTATAAAGTAAACGATATTTTGGAAGAGATTTAAATTGATTTCAGCATGAAGGAAAGTATAATGGACACTGATAAATAATTTGAAATGATTCCTATTTTGTTGTTGTCAATTTGAATTTGAACTACTGCACCAAAAAAAATATAAACCAGTTAAGGCAAATACCCCTGAATAAGACAATAAGTTGATAATGTATTGGGGGGGGGGGGTCAGTGGGATTTTTTTAACTTGTTGATTAAAAACTTCAAAAACCAGTGAAGTTACCATATATTCTGAATGCTTCTAGTGATTTGTACTTCCAGATGATTATGCCCCCTCTATTTGAGATAGTAGTAGCTAAGGTCATCTTTTAAAAAAAATGTTTGTTTGCCCTTTCCCAACTCAGGATAAAAATAAAAAAAAAAAATTGGGTCGGTAGGTACAGAAAAAGAAATTTAATTCAAAAAACGCTTGCAAATATGATGTTAAAATACCTATTAATGGGATAAGAAAACTTTTGAATCAGAATTTTAAAAAAAAAATGTTTCCTGGAAGTTAAAAAAGTTTTGAGTTGGGCTGTTTTTTTTCGAGAGAGGGCAAACGAACATTTTTTTTTAAAGATGGCCTCATTATCCTAATTTTTAATGGGAACATCTCTAGTCTTAATATGGTTGATTACAGCTTACACGTAATTCTGTGATAAAAGAAAAATGCAAATTGATAACATTTTGATTTATTTTATTCATGAGACTTTTACACCTACACAGTAAATAAACCACTGACCAATAATATAAAACTTCAAAGTAACATTACTTATAACCACATCTTCTGAAAAAAGATGGCATGTAGCGTGTAAAAACTGAATATTCAAGTTTAACAATTGCTAATTCTGGGAATTGTGACACAAATTTCCCATTATTTTGTAGACGTTGCAGGCCCGTAGGAAGCAATTTCAGTTTGGGGGGGCACAGCCAAACATTTTTCAGTTGACAGTTGAGGGGGCACTACCAAAAATTTTCTGACAAGCAAAAAAAAAAAAAAAAAAAAAAAGGTCGTCAACTACCAAATATTCCTTGACAAGCAAAAATAAAAAATAAAAAAAAAAGGTCATCAGGCGGCTTTATTGAGGGGGCACATGCTTATAGTATCTATGTTTACTATAGTAATCTATATATCGGCAAAATTATTGGGGGGGGCACCCCCCCCCCCCGGTTCCTACGGCCATGACCGTTGTCTCATGAAACCAAAAACATTCTGCAACATTGAACTCTGGACTGTATGGGGGCTGAAAAAGTAAGTCAATCCCATGGTTATCCAGTAACTCTTTCAATAAACGTTCTCCTTGTCTTTGATGGTGGAAACCGCAGTTGTCCATGATGACCACATCACCGCGTTTGAACATTGGGCTCCTAATATCATTTTTTTCGGCAAGTGCTTCATTAAGAAAAACAATTATTTCTAAGTATTTGAGGCCCCATTTATTATATTAAAATGATCGGAGAAATCACAGCAGACATAGACAGTAAATGTTCAGAGCTTGCGTATTTTTGCATTTCAATAGCCCGATTACTCTTGTGTGCATGTCCGTAAGAGCGATTTCCGGATGTTGTGATAATAGATGCCTCATCAAAAAAATGTATCTGTGTATAATTATAGTTTAAAAGGGTACCTAAAAAAAGTCTACCCTCTGCTCGTGGCCTTGTCGTAAAGTCTCACGTGGGATAATGTTCAACTTCTTGTGAGAAAAATTTAGCTCGTATTTCAATACATGTGATATTCGTTTCACAGATGGTAAATTGTTAATGGTACATATTTGCTCATCCAATAATTTCTGTCGGATTTCTCTACAGTAAATTGAGGGTTTCTTTCATTTCTGGTATTCGTTCGATAAAATGAAGAACAGCCTGTGTGATATTTCGGGGTCTATATAAACTTTTTCTCTGTGTTTTTACGACCTCATTTTGTTCATAATCCCCAACAACGTTTTTACATGTACGCGTGCATCGCCCCGTTTGTTTTCCAATCGCTCTGTAGCTTTTACCATGCAAATACAACTTGATTATAAGCTTTCTTTCTTCTTCCGACGCTTGTTTCCACGTTTTATGATTCAGATTCTTTGTTTCATTTCGTAACTGAAATACTGACGAAATGAATTGTTTAACTGTCAAATCCATCTGTGTCGTCACTTAACGCAATTCTATTACGATCGTAGTGTATACTTCCAAGCGAGATTTGCGATAAAGC